AAAAAAAAAAAAAAAAATGCAAATAAACAATGAACGTGAAAGAAAGCAATGAAAAAAAAAGAAAAAAAGTTTATGATCATTTTTTTAATGTTAAAATTGTTCAATTATCAGTTTTGTTCATTGGTTGAAGAAAACAACATAAAAAAAAATTTTTTTTTATAAACTGATTTTTGTTGGTTAAAAAGAATTGGACTTATTGTTCAAAATACTCTAGAAAACTTGTCACTTATCTGAGTTACATAGACAATTTATGCGTACATGTAAGATTTTTTTTTGGTTTATACATCACAAACTTCAGGTTCTATGATTCTTACTTGTTGTCCAGTGATGGACAAAAACACCGTGATTTTTCGTCAGTTACAAACTTCTACAGGCAGCAAAAGTGGTCTATGACGTTAATGACTCTAACAAGCCAGTCAACCGCTTCGGTAACAGATGCCTGTTTGGTAGTTACCAATGCAAAGCTACAGACAGTTTTTGTTAGACCTTCTGAGAAATAAGACGGAGCAACTACAGAACATAAGCGAAAAGTATAACTAGTTCAAAAAAAAATCTTTAGGGCGACAGTAAACACGTCTAATAAGCCAGCTATTTTTTGCGATTCGTTTTATGCATTGGAAAGCACAAGTGTTCACAGCTTTTTGCACGTTCTTTGTGATTCAATAACAACCATATAAGTCTCTAGAAAATTATCAAAGAACATTAAAAATCTACAGCGAACTTGAAAAGACTTATTTTTTCATTATCGCTAACACCACCGTCATCAATGTCTCTGTCATCATTACCACAGTAATAATAATAATCGTAGTCGTCATTATTGTCATGTTCATTATGATAACCGTAGTTGCCACTATCGGGGTCGTTGTCATGACACCGTCGTATTAATAGCAGAACATTAATTGCATAATATTAGAAAATCATCAGCAGTTTTTTTTCTGCTAAGCTGTCATTCAACAACTTGAGAACGAATACCGCAATATTTTCAAAACTTATTTTTGAGTACCAAATATTTACGAGTAAGATTTACATATTAGTTAAGCGGCAACAAATAAATAAAAGGAAATCTCTAAAATGACATCAGTTTTTCCACATTTTTGCTCATATAAAAGTTTCTCGAATCAGTATTTTTACAGGAAAAAGGCGGTTAAGTCAGCTGAAAAGACTATAAAACACTTTAAGAAATTCGGCCAACTGCGATACGTTAAAGCACAGGAATTTTCTACCTCCTAATGAATATCACTTTAAAAAAACCTCAAACTAAATTTTTTTTTGACTTAGGAAATGTCACAGTTTCAAAACTGAAAATCCAATATCTGATTTAAATCATCTTTTTCAAAAAACGCTAATTGCAGGATTACGGATGATATGTTTTTCACAGTTGAAAGTAGAAGAGGGCTATAAAACGTTGTTATCGAATTATAGATCACCCACCTTAAGGCCATCAGTTTGCGGCCCGGTTTAAAATTTTGTTCTGCTGCAAAACTCTTTGTTGCTCTAATTAATACATTAAATCTCAAAAAAATTAACCGAAAGGAACAGATGACAAGTAGGTGAAAAATGTTTTTTAGTTAAATTTTAGATTATTAAAAAGACTGTTGTACAAATCTGAACAATACCGAAAACTTAATAGCTTGGTTAATCACGTTGTAAATGTTGAAGAATAACTGCCATATTATTTTTGCTTTTAATGTTGCTAAGGAATTCTACTTTGGTTTAATCGAAGGAAGACAAAGAAGAACAGCAGAATGGTCAAAATAGCTGCTTGAGAGAGAAAGCAAGAGAAAGCAGTAAGAGAAGAAGTAAGTAATAAGCTACTATTATACTTTGACTTTAAAAGTTCAATTAGAATAAAAGTAAAAGTTGAATTTTCGGCAGTCAAATTTTGAGTGCCATTGTTGTTTATATAACGGTTTTACAATTGGATCAGGTACCGAAGAGCTTTTAACATGCTGAACAGTTATCGCTTATTGGCAATGCTTTCTTTACTTTCATTGTTTTTGTTTCTAAGGCTTCTTGAATAACATAGTCAAAGATTTAATAAGTACCGATTAATTTGATTAAGTAGTGGAGTTTTGGAGATACTGGATTAAATTCAGTGTTGTTCTTAACACATCTGCAACGATCTGGTTTTTGCGCTAGCTTCTAATTCACACCTTTTAAAGTTGCCATGCATTACGAATTTTGAATTTATTACTGTCTCACATATTTCTCTTTATAAATAATTCAATTTACTTTTTTTAAAAATACTTATTTAATAAACACATATATTTAGCTTCCTCTTTTTTTGCTTTTAAATTTTTTAGCTTCTTGGACAATTTTGTTCAAAGAAGACAATGCTGTGAACATCAGACTGTGCTCAAAACTGA